GAGAGAGAGAGAGAGAGAGAGAGAGAGAGAGAGAGAGAGTGTGTGTGTGTGTGTGTGTGTATACATCAAGGTCTATATAACGATACTTATATAGACCTTGTATATCTATGTATACACCTGTATTATAAATCACCACATGCATGTGTGTGCATGCAGTACGTGTGGGTACGTAAATGCACGACTGTAAGCGCCAATATTTCTATGTCCCTGTACGCGTACGAATATATTTATTAGAATGTATTTCTACACCTGTGCATGTAAATAAAATTATTGAAATACCTTTATGTGTGAATATGTGCGCCTTTTTGCATCTAAATGTTTATATTTAATAATATGTATGTTTGCATTTATCTGTATGCATACACATGTGGACTTTTATGCAAAAGAATGTATTTGTATGCACGATTGCAGATAGGAATGTATCTTTGCATACGACTGTTTGTCTCTGTATTCGTGTGCATCTGTGGTTTCATAAATTTTAATATATATCTACTGTATTTATGCATGTGTGTTAGTCGAATTGTGTAATAGTTTGTATTAAATCTGTCATGACAATTAGAACTGTATAATAGTTTGTGGTAATACTTCAGCCCAACTCTTTAAAATAAAAAAATAAAAACTCTTAAGGGACAAAATCAAATGAAAGACTTCACTAAAACATAAGTATAAAACATTTACAAAGTAAACCATAAAACATACATCATAGAAAAAACACCCTTGTTGCCTGCCCCTCTCTTGCTTGCGTTGGCCTGTCGCGTTGGGTAACAGCTGGCCCTACCACAGTAGCGCTTTTCCCTAGTACTGGGTCCTTAAAGGGGCTTCCTAGGTCCCTTGATAAAATAAATATGCATGGCAAAGTAAAGACATACTTATTATTTGAAGTGAAGTATCAACTTTCAACTGTGTAATAATAATAATGATGATATTAATGATAATGATAATAAAAGTAATAATAATGATAATAACAAAAGATTAACGATAGTAATGATAGTAATGATAATGATAATAAAAGTAATAATAATGATAATAACAAAAGATGAACAAAGCTAGTCAACACTTGCGTGCAGTTTTTGCCGTTTAATATCATATTAGTCTACAGGACTAGAAAATCTCTTCCAGTCTTCCACAGGGCATTTTCTGTTGCAGGCATACAGTAAGTCATTTATAATTTTCTGCATAGATTTTATTTTTCTATTAGTTTATATATACTTCGAAAATTCGGATTTTTAAAATGTTATCTCTGGCATCAAGCGGGGGCCTCGTCCATCGGGGCAACATAACATGGCCTCCCTCGCCGCTACCCTTATGCTACTCCACTGACAACACACAATATTCTACCAAAGCAAAAATAAAGTCCACTGCTTAACAACAAAACAGAAAAAGAGAGACTGCATCCTGATCACCGATTCACCAAGAGAGAGCTAGTTGCATTTGTTTTCCTAATTAGGTATGTATTGCAATTAACTGTGCAACTCTACGGACGTATCGACCATGTTTCACTATCATATGTTATTTTTTATTATCAAACTCATTTTTAGTTACAGGAAAGGATGCGAGTGATGGTGTGTGACTTCTTCACCATAAAGTTTAGGCCTTATTATTACTTAATGATAAACTTGTGGAAATAAAGTAAAAATATTTCTGTTATATTATTTTAGGCCACACAATAACAATATAGTTGAGCTCAGTAAAAGCAAGTCAAGAACAATGGTAGAGTGAAAATAAAGCTATACTTTAGCAAGCACTAATGAATCTAAAAAAATAATAAAAGTAAACGTAGAGCTAAAGTAAACTACAACGATAAGTCACACATTTATGAATTGAAATCGAATAAAATATTCTGATTGACATAATATTCTTCTACTTATACACGTGATAAGATAACAGAAAAAACTATAAAATACGAGATCTTACGGGAATTTGATGTTACTGAGAGGTTACGATTCATTTATCCTAAAAAGGCGCCATCGCTCGTTTTTTCTTTTATTTAGACAAATTGCTAAATGTGTAGACTTCTTTTAGAAATTAATACAGTTAAGTACATAGGTAATATTACAATAAATATATATAATAATAAATAAAGATTGTCCTTAACATATCATTTGGAATACATCTTTTGAATAATAAATAAAAAAATCTTGGAAGAGTGATGCCAAGTTATAAGTGAAAAGGGTAGTTGGGCCAAGGACACGTAGTTCTGAAGTTACGGATAGATAAATGATACGCATTTTTTCAGTTTGCACAAGATAATTATAGATCATTATCATTATTATTGTTCCATGGTGTCTATTTCTTAGGTAGATGGGGGGTAGGGAGCGATGCAATGATGGCTAAGAACCCTATTTCATTCTCTGTTTGTGTGTCTATTTATCTCTCCCACTGCAATTAAGGTGGCATTCATAAGGCAAATGTTGACGCCATTAGACGCACAAGTTTAGTCAAAGCCTCAACATGATTCCCGAAGCCTTTTGTACAGTGGGAGAGCAGTGTTCTTTGCAAGGAGGGTGCATTTCCCTGCGCCTGTCTCGGAAGGGGTGCAAATCGCTAAAGTAAATACACGCAGTCACTGATTTAGCCACCCCAGCATGGAAGATTGGTGATATCGTCAGACAGAAGAGGGCAGAGCACTAGATTTCTCAGCGAACCTGATTTTTAATGCTTTATATATATAGGAGAAACAGTACACGGAATATGACAGTACACGGTCTATGGAAAACGAATCACCCACACCGCAGTTCTCACCGCCGTTACAAAAGGAGTGCCTTCGCCCCTCAAATGAGCACCGACGGCCACCTCTCTGAGCGGTTTTACCTTCCAACGGGGCTGAGCAAATCATACGTTTCCCTGCATTTTCCTTCGGTGTTTGATTATGCTTGTGCGTTTACAAACACACGTGTGTTTTGTTTTTTTTACTCGTCTGTGATTGTGACTATGTTTGCAAGGGAATCAGCTCCAAGACAATGATCTTTGCGATGCATGTTAAATGTAATAGTGACAAAAATGAATACATGTGTGTATACATTTGTGTGTGTGTGTGTGTGGAGAGAGAGAGAGAGAGAGAGAGAGAGAGAGAGAGAGAGAGAGAGAGAGAGAGAGAGAGAGAGAGAGAGAGAGAGAGAGAGAGAGAGAGAAAATTATTGAAAGTGCTATATAAATAAATAGACAGTTTGGATCTTATGGTTATTAAAAGTTAGCTTGTTTACCAAGCTTTGTCGCTTCTCATTGCCTTTGCGGTTTATGTCAATTCAGCCTATTTGCTGAGCCTAAGCTATCACTGCGGCATTGTATTAAATTAACATATGCAAATGTCATTCAGATTGAAGTCCGCGTCGAGATCGAACCGCAAGCGAGAAGAAACAAAATAAAGAGAATAACAATGATAATAAAATCATAAAGTGAAAAGAATAGGACAGTGATAAAATACAACTTGTTTGCTTCACAAGGTGTTTCAAGATAAGTGTTATAAAAGATTCGAATCCTAAGGCGCGACAGAATGAGAGGATGAGATCGTAACTTGTTTATTTGTTGGATCGAAGAGGAGCAGCGCCACCTTTACCTCTGCCCTCCTCTCGTTCCCTGTATTGTTCTCTCGCGTCTATACTCTAGTGTTGTTGCTCAGCCGGCAAAATGGTGAATTGGTGCTTCTTGTCGGATCACGTTTTAGAGGTCATATTCTCGTACTTGGACGTGCATGACTTAAGGAACTGTTCGTTAGTGTGTAAGACGTGGTACAGATACTTGAATGACGAGAACAACGACGTGTGGCGGCTGCATTGCATCAGAAAGTTAGCCGAGGAGGCTTTGAAATCGGACCTATTAGCATCTGTTCCCACTTATAAAGCCAAGTTAAGAGCCTTTTACCATGCGTGGAACCCGAATGACTGCTCGAGAAACATTTATGTCAAGCCCAATGGCTTTACACTGCACAGAAACCCGGTGGCCCAGAGCACGGACGGGGCCAGAGGGAAGATCGGGTTCAGGTCAGGCAGACATGCCTGGGAAGTGGTGTGGGAAGGACCCCTAGGCACTGTAGCTGTCATTGGCATTGCTACAAAGGACGCGGCTGTGCAGTGCCCCGGATATGTGGCGTTGTTAGGCTCCGATGAGCACTCCTGGGGATGGAATCTAGTCGACAATCATTTATTACACAATGGAGACTCCCAGGGGAATTACCCCTTGTTGAACAATGCACCAAAGTATCAGGTATGTTTGCAGAGCCTGTGGTGATAACATATTTGTGTCAAAAGTGTTGATGTTTGTCTAAAATTGAGGTTTGAAGATTTACGTGGTACTGTTTAGAAATGGTTCCTAGTCTGTAGAGATTTGACAAACCTCCATACATGCATTTTGAATAATAATCTGAAGAAGAAATTGACAGCTGATATTTAAATACCTCTCATGCCTTTTCTGAACTTGTTTTGACTGTGTTTTCATTGTTGTTAAATGTTTCGAAAGCATATGAACATCTGCCATAGGTCTCTTACATGGTAATTTTTTATTTTATCAGCCATCCAACCTTGCAATTATTATTCCTTGTTTCAATTATCCTCAATGTAACATGCGTGAATCTGTTGTAGTTTTCCATTGGAAATAAGGTATAATGCACATTGTGTACGGGATGATGAACACAAATTTAATCCAAATTTACAGTACTTGCTCTGAAGATACAAGACACACCTGCCAGACACATAAATCACTGTGGTCATCAGTAAATTTCCTATTTTATATAAAAGAGCTGATATCTGTAATAATAATTGGTAATCACCCTCTATAAATTTCACATATGGAAATTTTGATAATGAGGCATTTCCAATAGATAGAGAAAAAGTGTACACCTACGGCCATTACCACATTCTATGCGACTGTGATGATTGAGTCTAGACTTAAGAGTAAGATGTCATATATATATGTCATATATATATATATATATATAATATATATATATATATATATATATATATATATATACATATATATATATACATATAACACACATACATATA